CGCCCAGCTGCGCCCGAACCATTGCCGCGGCCACAGAAGGCGCGCGCAGGGTGTCAAGCGTGAGTCAAACCGCCACTCTTCCAGCCACCCGCGCTAAGCAAGGAGACACAAACCGCCCGTTAGCGACTCTTCCCTTTTGCGATGAAAATCGGCGGCGTAGGTACGACCGTAACTCGACGAGTCTGGGGACGGCCGAGGACCAACAGCTTGCTTTTCTTGCATACGCGAAATAGCATCTCCGCGCGATCTCGATCTAGTTGGGAGCGAGGTCACCTCTCATTCATGCATGTGCATAATTAATGTACTACCAGCCCAGCGGCCCGCGCCACCTTTCATCCACAAATACCGTGCTTGTCTTTGTTGCAGGCTGCCACCCCGTTCCCCCCCTGGAGCTTCCGCATCTCAGTCTCCTCTTTCAGTCTCCTCTTTCGCGCGCACTCACCCGGAGAGAGAAGAAAATTTTCATTAAGCGCCCGAATTCCTTCTTTTGCTCCCGTGCCTAGTTTCGTGCGCGGGTGCGTTCCTTCTTTTCGTCCCGTGCCTATAAATAATTAGAGCAGACATCATCACCCGCGGCGCGAAAAATTCTTTTCGGCTGCCGTGGTGAGGACACGAACGAAGCAACTTTTGCGTCATGGCCAAGCCCGCGCAGCAGCTCCGAAGCTCGATCGTGTGCGCCTCGGCCCTGGTGTCGTTCGGATTCTTCGGTGTGCTCATCGCTACCGTGATTCAGCAGGACCGTGATTCAGCTTCGGCGCTGTCAGTCGGCACCTTGTCGGCACAGCTGACGCCCAGACACTCGGTTATCCAAGGGCCACGGTCCGGTCAGGGAGGAGAGCGCCCGAGGACGCCCATCGCGCGCGGAGGCAACGGCCCTGTGGCGTCGCATCGCAGCACTCTCAGAGCCCGGCCCGGGATACCGGAACGGATGCAGGCGCAGCAGCACCCGCGTCGGCCACGGCTCAGCCTTGTGCGAAACAGCACGCTGCGCCGGATCCCGCGAAATAGCACGCTGATGGCATTGCGCCGTGCGCATATGGCCTCCTTGCATCTGGCGAGGCAGAAGCCAGGCCAACTCGGAGGCAAGCCCTCGCTCCGGAAGCTGACAGGGTCCACGCACGCTCCGCAACGACACCAAGGCGTGGCCTCGGCAGAGACGGCGCTTGGAGGGCATCGCGTTACGCATCGGAGAGACGATCATAAGCCCCATACCTGAGTGACTGACAGGCTGCATTGGCCTGGTCGGCGACCGTTTCGAGCGTCTTGAGGGTGGACCCGGCGCACGAGCGCGCCGCTTTCACAGTGAGCGAGGAGCGCGAGCGCGGGTCGGCGCGCGTGTGCGCGAGAAGTCAATTAGCGCTATAACGCGGAGTCGGTGGCAAGAAGCCGGATCTCGTAAGATAAAATTCGGCATATACGGCGAATAGCTCTATGTGCGCTGCGCATGCGCAGGTCCTGCTGGTAGCCCGGTCGAACACTGCCCAAACAAATAAATTCCCCCTTTGAGCTGAGAGGTTTTGGGATTTCGCTCCGAGCGACGGTCCAACGAGAATCGTCAAAATCAGGCAACAAGAGACCGGTAGCGCCAGCATGTCGGTGCGTCTTTCTCACGCTCGCGCGCCCGCCGCGCCCGAACTATGCACGGGCCCGGCTCGCCCGCTTGGGGATCCACCCGGCACATCCCCGCCCCCCACCTGCCGGCTTGCCTGCCGTCAGTTCACGGCGGATCGCCCTCAATTGTCAGCAACACAAATCCACCAGTTTTTGGGCTGCCTTCTAGCCTCACCTCACAGCCGACCTTCTGGTCGTACGCGGGTTCTTAAGGGTCGTACATGCCGGCCATGACGTCTACCAACCGGCCGTTCGCAGGCGGTAGCTTCGCACGCCCCCGACAGCTCCGAGAATGACCCGCGCGAGAAGTGCGCGTCGGCGGCGCACTTTTCCTCCCAGGCTGTGACTGCTGCCCTGGCCACCCTGGCCTCCCTCGAGGGGTCGCCAGGACCCGCCGCGGCCCTGGCGCGGCCCACGGGCGGCTTGATGCTCATCGACGCCTTCACCCTCGTCGGCCTGGCCGGAAAATACGCCAGCCGCTCGGGTGCCGCCCGCCTCCTAGAGGCCGAACCACCAGTGCTGTGAGTATTGACGCCCTCCCTGCACCTCAG